CACTCTGTACAGCATCCAGCACTGGTTTGTCAACTTTGGGTCCTCCTGCAATAATAGTAATAGTGCAATATAAACACATGTTAAAAATGATGCTACAGCAGTTATATTAAAATGAAGCATATACATTGAAGATTCGGGACAGACTTCTGCATTTCACTTTCCTTGGGTAGGAATGTTACATGCTGGTAAATTCTGCTTATTAATTTAAAATAATATAGGCTTTTCTTTTTTTAAAAGTATGTTTTGTAAGTGTTGGGAAAGGCTTGCCTGACCACCACACTTGGCAGGTAAAGTGTAGGAGGTAAAAGTTTTGATTTTTCAGTTACTCTAAGCACAAGTTCATCTCAGTTTGGTTTTGCTTAAGATTCAGTGGTGATTTAGAGCTTAGATTATGACAGATATAGGAGTTCTTTGCTGCTTCCTTTTCTTTTCTTCCAGGGTCAGAGGGTTATTACATAAATAACAAAAGAATAGTGTACTTCCAAGCAGGGAGAGGTCTTGCTGGCATTTCTGTGCATGCTACAGCACAGTTAAACCTGTGTTATCCAGAGTAAAGAGACCAAGAAACTGTCTGAGTGACTGTTTGTCTGTTCTCCAGTTGCACAAATACATGTCTTGGATGGTTAGTGTAGAGCTATTATCACTTACATAAACATTATTATATGAGCATCTATCTAGGACTGTGTTAATCTATTAATCTCGAAGGATTGTCTCCAGTGGTTTAATTTGAAGTAGTAAAATAGGCCTGTAAGGATGCTTTTAATTCCTCACAGGGGTTTATTAGATTTATAAAAAAAAAAAAAGTGGAAGTGCCCCATGTCTTGAAACTGTATATATTCTGTACATGCATTTTAATGATGTGTCACTGCATATGATATAACGGTGTTTTATAAGGGAAATGGTTACAGAGACAAGACTACCATTTAATCCTATCATTAGTTTCCAGATATCTTCATGCTGTTCATAATTTTAACTAATATTTGGCACCCTCCTGTGTTTGTTAAACCAGTATTGACAAATACTGGGACAGTGTTGCATTCAGTTGGACTGTTTCAATGAGGGAGGTTTATTCAGCCCATGTCCTTTATCTTTATTCAGAATCGTTTTTAAACTTCCTTGAATTACTAGGTAGCATTATAGGAGTAGGAAGATACTAATTTCATTGCAGATAGGCAGTTTTCTCTAGCTTGATTGCATTTAATCTCTTGCATGCCCTTGCTTTTGGAATGGTGAACGTGAGCAAATTTTTAAAAACTTGTAAATAGCATTTTACACTTGTAGCTTCCCCCCCACCCCCAGAGCATAAGGAAAAGCCATGTTAAGGGATATTATACTCTGCAATTGTAATTAAACATGGATTCTGGCTAGTAAAAAGTACAAAATTTAAAAAAAAATTACAATGCACCTATTTAAAAATTAACCATTACTTGCCAAAAGCACATCAAACCCACTTAGCGGACATCCGTTAATCCAGCGGTTAGCTGTTTCAGGCTTTAATGCACACTGTTTTACACGTTAACGGTTTTGAAGTTCCAGGCCAAGGCTGACCTTTCACATCTGCTCCTTTCACAGTAGGAATCTCCACTTACTGCTTCCTGTCAGAATGGATTAGAGTGACAAAGTGCAGGGCTTGCGCTGGCTGCAGTTTCGTTTTTGATCAGAATTATTTCTTTCACAAACAATCGCATTTGCTAAAATGTTACATCTGCTCTGAAAAACCACTGGCAGACCCACAGTTTATCAGTGTGATGTGAGTATAATTTTTCATTCGTCTTTCATAAAGCTGTAAACCAGCTTTAAATGTGTTTGGGGGACTTTCACTCCCCCCTCCTCTCCATTTGCCATTTTCTTCTTTTAATTTTGTTGGGTTCAGATGCAAACTTGCTTATGTCTCGTAATAACATGAAACTGACTGTGAAGCCTTTGAGGGATTTGCATGAAATTTGCTTTGGGGAAGGGCGGACTGGTCAGTTAGGAACATTGTTCTAATTTTTGGCCCTGTCCTCTGAGGTGCTGAGTACCCTCAACTTAACGTTAACTTCAGCAAGAGTTGAAGGCATTTTGCCCCTTGCACTTATTTATTTATTTTATGCTTCATGCAGAAGTGTTCTTGTCCTTGGATTTGGAGGGGTGTGATTGAATCTTGACTGGTAGTAGTTTAAAAAAATAGTTTTTATTTTATCAGGATGTACGTTGTTAGAGGAATTCCTGTCACCTGGTGGAAGTGGACAGTTGGAGGTAGCAGGCAAAAACATTACTTGCTTTACAAGCCTACATTGTTAGTTATGCAGACTTCTTTTAAGTATCCACTCTAATAAAAATAATAGCCATATATAAAAGTTAATCTTTGGTACAAAGGATTGTATTTTATCTCATGTATTTTGTACATGTGGATTTTTTTAATACACAGTTTGAGATCCACTGCAAAATGAAAATCAGTATTCACTGTTTGTGAACAGCACCCATTTCAGGCATGAATCTGTTTGTAAAATGGTGTATTTGTGTGAGTAGACAGGCGAAAAAGATACTTGCAAAAAAAAAAAGAGGAAAAATATATATATTCTCCTGATGAACAATGTATATATTTCAAATGGGCTGACTATCCCCCAGAATATTATGTTACATCTGCTCTTTGGCACTTAGTCATAGACCTTGAGCACACCAAGAGCTTTTTGAGGCAGCTTAAAATGTTAAGTATAGGTCATGTACCATTATCCCAAGCATTACTTAATAAAATTAATCTATTTTTCTTTTTAATAATGTGCTTAACGTAGCACTCTTGCTGCTCATTTCTCTGTTGCTAGCCTCATTTGAGCAATTGCTCTAAATATGAATATTAGCAAATAAATTACCTGGAATTATATTTAATACTGATTGCATAATTTGCTGCATAAAGCAAATTGTAACTTGCTTTTAAGAGATGTGGACTGCCTAAACATTACAGGGGTTTTTTAAGTCTTTTTCTTTCTCTGCTTCCTCCATGCTTTCTAGGAAGATGGGCCTTGTCTCCCTATTCTGCTTTGAAAGGATTCAGTGGAACCTTCAAATAAGAAATCTATTATAGTAAATGCTTTATCTTGAAACTTTCTATTTTTATCTTTGGATACAGATCATGGACATTAATAACCCTGGCTCAGACCAAACTGACCTTAAAATGATGATGGTTCTCTGTAACATTTTTCTTAAATGGTATTAATATTTCAGAAACAATAATTCTATATAAATCTGCTGAGGTCTCAGTATGAAAGTGTGTACAGATTAACCACACTTGGTGGGGAAAAAAGTTCTCCCTAACTGGATCTGCAGTTCTTGTTCCTCTCCCCTGACCATTTTATAATTTCTAACCCTTTCCTCTGTGACATATTTGAATGATTGATTATGAGTTGTGTCTTGTTAGTTTGCTCGCTCTTGTTTTAAAAGCAATCAAAGAAAAAAGTGATGGTAAGAAGATCCCTGATGATGATGATGATGGTGATAAATGTCTACTGCTGCTGCTTTTGATCCATCATAAGGTGATGGTTTTCTTTTTACCCTTTGATATCTTGTTAGGATCATAGATGGCAGAGACTTAAAAGATCATCAAAGGCAAGGTATAATTTCCTCTTTAGGAAAGAATATTTTGGATATTAAACTGGTATCACATGTAATCTTGACAAAAGAAGAGTTTTGTATTGGTGTTGCTTATGTCATCAATTAATTATATGGCAGGTTCAGTTCATTTTCATAGCCAAAGAATGGAATCCACTCTGTGCTCTGCAAATGAAAAAAAAAAAATTTAGAAAGAAGCAGAATTTTATTTTTTGTCCCTAAGTTGGTTTTGGGGGTAGGGGTGGGCATTTGTCAGAGATGGCATAAGATAACTAATGCATTTCTCAGGCTTTTTGCTGTTTAACTTAGATGCCAGTTTAGAAAAGATGCCTATTCAGAAAACACCGTTTAAGTTCTATTAAAGATTTTGAGTGCATGCCTGGAGTTAAGCATTTGCTTAAGTGCTTTTCTGAACTGGTTCATTACGGAGCACTTAATGTAGCCCTGTGCTAGGATATAGCTATACGTGCTCAAGGGCATTTAACATCCAGAACACTGTACAGTACAAAGCATCAAGGTGAGTACAGTAAGTTAATGGAGGATTCAGGTGTATAAAACTGAAAAAAGTTGGAACAGGGCCAAAATGCATTTTATGACTAGTTTTATTTTCTGTAGTTTTTTGTTTGAGAGTTTATTACCGTATGTCCAGTGTTTTGATTTGCTGGACTCTGCATTTATTTTAACAAGTCAAATTATCATTGTCCTTTCAGTTGCACAGCAAAGAGAGTTTATTATTTTAAGTGACTGATTGCTTTAACAGGTGCTCAGTTAATGAGGGCTTCATTGTATTATTTAATGTTTTTTGGTTGGGTGCAAAAAGCCTATTTACAAAAAAAAGTTCCATTTCTTTAAATGGGTATTTTATCTGGCCTAAACTTTCTGTGTGAAGCCCTTGTTTTTTCATTTTTGAGCACAAAGTGCATTAAAAAATATGCTTAGGAGGTAGAAGGGGAAAGTCCATTTCCTGTCGTAGCTGGGACAATTTCCTCTATGTCTCTGGTCAGATATGGAACCTCTTCATTCTTTTTTCCATTTTTTTTCTTTATGGCGTGCATGTTATAAAAATATTAGTAACAGAAAAATGCAGCTTAGTACAAATATTGTACAAATCTTTGAAGGCTTCAAATACTTTAAAGTTTGACTAACCCTCATTTTGAAAAAAAATTGCATAGAAATGGTACTGTCCTGTTGTGCATTTAGACCGTTGGGCAAGGGTTGCTTTCTAAATATTAGTACCTATTTCTATGTGAAATTATCAATTGCAGATAATACTTGTGGGAATACTTTCTAAGCTCGCATACGTTTACCATTCTGAAGTTTGTTACTAAGACTGCTTGCATGGGATTCAGTAATCAATCTCTTAGTATAATACTGTTCAATCAGAACTTTCTTTTTTTTCTTCAATTAACTCTTTGCTTTAGACAAAGTGATTCTTCTAATTCAATGTGCTGTATTACTGAGCCCTAGGTTACAGTGCAAAGCTGAATGTTCCTTTTTTAGGAATTTTTTTGTAGGGCCATTAGTAAAAGCAGCAAAGTAAAGATGGCTACATGCAGCATTTTTGTCAGTTCTTAAGATTTGTCTGGGGAGATTAGAACAGACTACAAAGCAGATGGCACAATTGCAGGGATGACATTGTAGAGCAGCGTCATTTTGTTTTGTGGGGTTGTGTTGTGATTTTTGTGATTCCCCTCTATTTCAGGGATCTTACATATTTTTCAGTAGTCTTCATGGTAAAAGTAAGTAGTCTAGTTTGCCTGTGTAAACAAACCAATATGCTCTCTAGAAAAGTGTATCGGAGCAGTTAGTTGGCAGGGACAAAAGCTTGTAAAGCAAAGCACTTCCTAGCGGAGCACGAAGAACTTTAAAATGTCTTGGCAACAGCAGAAAGTAGTTTTCCTTGTTTTTTTCTTTCCTTTCTTTTTTTTTTCATGTCAGTCTAAAACAATGGTTTGGTCTTCTCGTTTCTATCCAGGTATATAAAAAAAGATGGGACAGGTGTTTTGTTTGGATGCAATACTGTTTTGTTGAATGATGTGGATGTTACCTGCTGCCTGCACGTGACTTTTCGTTGTATTCTCACTGCAGTAAAAAACAAATGGGAAGAGGATCCTCGAGTAACATTGTGGTTTGGAAGGTGACAAAGGATGGTACAACTGATGTCCTGCATCCCACCGCATAACCATGTGCAGCATCAGTTCCAAGGAAAAATGTTTGTTTGTAGGGCCAAATCCAGAAGTCTGAGAAAGTGTAAGTGGGCAGCAAGTCCAGATGTGAGGTCAGCGATAGTGCAAATTGCCCATGTTTGAATTTCTGGAAGGGTGCAAAAGAGGAATATAATTTATAACTGAGGAAATAGTAGGAGGGAGGTGCAAGTAGCAAAACGGCTAAGGGAAGAGTCTCCTCCTTGCATCCTGCCACCATGTTCAAATTTGGGTCCAGAAATGGGCGCACACTATTATTGCTTGAACTGTAGCCTTAGCAAAGTCCTTGTTGGTGCATGGTTCCTTTAAGGTGGGCAGGCAGTAGGTATTCTGTAGTCTGAAAGTTTCCTTCATATTCACACGTGGTGTTCGCATTGATAGAGCATCCCTACGGTTGCACATTAATTTTAGTCTTACTGACCAGTGTTCAGCGTCTGTTCAAATTTCTCTGTGTTGGCCAGTCAGTCTGCGTGCCTGCAGGTAGATATTTTGCTGTTTCGCTATGCATCCTAATTCCTTCCTGCATCGTCTCTAGTTGCGATTGCCACATTTTTATACGTGTAGCTGTCAGTGTTTCAGTCGGTGGCTGTGCTATAGCAAGCTTTTCCGTGATTTTAATCTTCTAGAAGCTGCAGCGTGGCCATGTAGTGGGTGCTTCTTGTTTCTGATCTGCAGGGTACGTTCTATTTTGCTTGCTACTGCTCTCCCGATATATATGTGTTGGTGCAGTTCTGGGAAGTAGAAGAGGGAAGAGTGAAATGCAGCTTTAGCTGTGCACCTTTGTTAGCTGTTTTTTCTACAACATCCCTTTACTGCTCGTGATGACTTCCTTGGCACAACTGTTCGTGATTTCAGGTTTCACTGAATGCCAAATGGAGCAAACTCTATTTGCACCTGTTTTCTGGCAACTTACCCCACAGTTTAGATTTGTGCTAAACTTGGCAGGCAATGCCTTTGATTCTAACATAACTCAGAAAATTGCATTTTCAGTAACTTTAGAAATACATAGCTTCTAACACTCACCTGGTTCATACTGGACTTCATGAATCCAATCTTTTCTTCACTTTGTTTTTTTTTTCCCAAGGTCAGAATTCTTTAAATTGCCTTCAGTCTGCTGCAACTCCTGACATTAGACTGGTACCTGTGTGTGAAAACTTCCCAGTGTAAGAAAGGCCATACCTCTAAGCTGCAATTCTGTTTGCCTGCATTTATTCTTCGTGTTCTTAAAATTGGTAAATCATATGACAATAAACAGAAATACCCTCGGTGAAGAGGGAAGGGGAAACTGTTGTTTATCTGGTCAGGTGGTTTAGATTAGCGGTGATGCTGGTCTGTATTATGTTACTTTAAATCATAGTGTCCCAACAGGACATAAATTATGAAGATTGTTACAGTATGTTTCATCCAATGTAAGATCAACAAATTGGAATAATTTTTTATAGGAAAATCACAGTGCGTTGGCAAGGTTATTGTTGAAGAATTTAATTTAACTTGAGCTTTGCTCACACTATTTCTTAATATATAAAAACTATTTGCATAATGTATGAAGTATAAACATTTTGAGAATCAAAGGCAAGAATGCCTTTTCCAAGATTACATAGAGTGGCAAACGACTTAGAATAGATCAGTGTTTGTGCTTTTGCTGTCAAAATGTTTGATATAGAACTGGCTAGCTAGTTTCTTCACTGACATAATTGTAAACAAGTGTTGCAAGACAGAGACAGCCTCTTGTGGAATAAAGCATGGAGGTTTTCACATGCTCTGGAAGCTCTAACATACAATGTGGAGTGGCGCATTTACTGCTGTAATGTGAATTAATGAGTAACTTTCAGACCAAACAAGAGACTTCAAATTATGTGCAAGTGGGATGAGAAGATCAGGGTGGAAAAATCTTAGCAGCTAGTCCGTATTTGCTTTGTAATGGAATATTCTGAATTTGGATGAACATAAGACAAGCAATTGCGGTTAAGGTTGTATTGATGTTTCTTTAGATAGTCTAATAAAAACAAACATTGCCTCTTAGTGTTGATTTTATGCAATACCCCATCAGTTTCCTTTCTCAGGACTTTTTTGGAGTTATGAACATCATTTTCCAAAGCACTGAGCAAAGCTTGGCAGATGGTGAGTTGAGGATGGTTAGCATTTTGCTGATTCAAGCCTTAAGTATCAGGGTAATGTTGTAGAAACAGTGTGCAGTTGTTAGGAGCTGCAGAGGTTCTGGCCTCTGTGATCCCATTGATTAGTCACTTCCAGGGATTATTATCGTTCCCAGGTCTGGGCCAGAATATGGAAGCAGGCAGAGGCTCCAGCTTGTGTAGCTTGGTCTTCATGGACCACTTGCAGTGAGTGAGTGCGTTCGCTCCACATACAGTGCTCCTTCTGTAGCTGCTGTTGCCAGTCTGATGGTATTCTCCTTATCTTCATATAGGTCAAGTCATCAGCAACTGCATTTCCATCTAGAATGCCCCAAGGCAGATGAGATTTCCTGTGTAGCGTAACCTTACAAAGCCAGGAGAGAGCGAGTTTGCTGCTTGAGGTATTTCACTTCATGAGCAGGCTTCCAGGAAGGAGTCAGCTTAACTCAGTGGCTAGCTGCACGGTGGCTTGCCTTGGTCATCTTTCCAGAGAGCTTTCCCACCGTTCTTGGAAAGATTGTAAAAAGCAAAACAGGAAACTATTTTTCATGGCTAATATATAAACTCAAATAAATGTCAGGAAAGGAGACTGAAAACTGCTCTCTAGTGCCACATCTGTCTAATATACATGGGAGACTGATAATGTAGTAATGGGTGCAAGAGAGAGGAGTAGAGTTGATAATGAATACCTCACAGAGAATCTTTTCTTTACCATTTTGAACATTGGTTGAGTTCTTAGATTTTTTTTTTTTTTAATTGACTTAGCTTTTAGGGTTAAATGCGATGAAGTTCTGCAGTTTGGAACTAAGGTCTGATATGGAATTGGCTTTATAATTATAGTAACAAGAATTCAAACTGCATGAAAGATAAAGGGGAAAAATGCAACGTACAGTAAGTACGTCATGATGCTATTTTGTTGTTGGATGTGAATGCGAATGTGCTAAGCCCTATATATCCTAAAGCGTAACTTCAGGTATTGGCTACTGAAGTGCCTCCCACCAATAATGGGGAATGGTACGTAGTGTTTTTCATTACGTAGTAATGCTACAAAGACAGGTAGCCTCTATACTGCATAAGGTCAAAGTTAATACTGTCTCTAGTATTATAATGACAGATTGGAAACAAAATCCTTAATATACTTGTGATTAGCATATGTTTTCATTGGATAAATGTGTGAAGGATTTAAAACACTCTGGAGTTCATAACCTGTGCATTTTAAAACAAATAAATAAAATGCTTGTTAAGTTTCTGGGCCTTGGGGCCATTTTTCTTGAGGATCCCTATCTTTGGAGTAAAGTACTGTCAGATGCTTTGTTCTTGAGATATATTATGATCATCCATCACTGGGGACTCACCCTGCAGTGATATATTAGTGCAACACTTGAACCTGCACTGCTTTGATGTATTACTCATCAAGATGATGTTGGCAAGCGTTGCACAAAGGGAGCATGTTTAAAAAGTATTAAGATGAATTGATTCGTTGCTTAAGATGTGTGAAAGGAAGAATAATAGCAGATTATCTGAGGGCCTCTGCAAGCCTCCTCAAGCTGTTAAGTGTTGTATGGTGCAAAGAGATGGATGGAATTTCATCTTTCCATACCTTTCTGAAAGCTAAGCACATCGGCCTGTTTTTACCATTCTCAAGAAACACAAATTGCATCGAGTCGTGTTTAGTGATGGCATGTTGTGCTGCTTTAAAAGCGCAGCCTCTGAGCACTAGCTGAGCTAGGTATGCCAGGTGAGCTTTCATAAGTCCCCCCTCACCCTTATTTCCCCCCTTTTTACCTTTCAGTATAACTACATCTTCTAGGAGTAGCTTTACAGAAGAATTCTTTTCCCCATGACAGACATGACAAAGCTGGCAGCACCAAGGAAATGAATATTTACTTTAGAAATTGCAGCTGAGCTATAAATACAGCATCAGTAGGTTTAGTTCTTTCTTTTCGGACTCTTAAAAGATAGAAATGGAAAAGGTCTTTCCGGCCATTCAGCCCAGCTCCTTGCCCAGGCGGGACTGTTCTGTCCAGTCTGTTTCCTTGTGGTGTTTCCACCGTGTTTTAGGTAATGGGGTTTCCATTGGCTCACTGGGTTTTTTTTCCCCATGACTTAAGAATGTGATTAAATATTTCAAGGAGTTTATTTCTAAATTTTTTTTTTAGTCAAAATGATTGAAATAGAATTTATTTTACTACAGAGAATTAGTTTTTTTTATCTAAAATACACTCAGAGTTTCCAGTAGAAAAGGAGCAGACTGTTTTGGAGTCTTTAATATATTTCTCTTCAAAACATCCCATGTGAGGGAGTGAAGTGTTGCTTATCTACCTTGCCTTTAAAATAGCAGTATATGGTTTCTAAAATGCCTAGAGTGTTTTATTTTTCTTTTGCAAATTAAGAACTGAAAGTGCTCTCTTTTGTGGCTAAAGCTGTTACAAACAATACTATTAAGGTCAAGGCCATGTTCAAACTTACTGGCATAAGAAAAACACGTGCGCCCTGCACTGGGGAATGTTTGGCTGTCAGATAAACTATATCCACCAATACCCAGTGACAGTGCTATCATGTGACATATGCTTGACAATGATCTTGCACTGCAGACCGTTTAATAATTTTCATTATTTTTAATTAAGGTTGAAGAAGTGCAGACTCCAACTCCAATTAAGGTTGGTTGTGTTGCCGGAATGTGGTAATTACTTTAATTGATCACAAGATAGTTTCCTTGATCACCAATTAGATTAAATTACTGATCATGTTTCAAGACGTGAAGAAATGTCCAAACTGATTATGTAATAGTGTTTTCATATCTAATCAAACCTAAATATCTTTTCCTTCTAGAGCCACTTGTGTTTTCTAAGAGCAAGGTTATGGCTGTACAAATATAAAGGTGATTCATAAACAATACAGTTTTAATTCTTTTAATTAACATTGGAAGTATTTAGGGTCTTAATGGAGATTGTGCTGTTGAAATTATTCAGCAGAGTTACTGTTCAATTTCTTAGTGGGCGATGTGTTCTTTTTGTTTGTAAGTAAAGTAGGCTACAATTAAAATGCAACTTTTGGCAAAGAAAAATTGCTTGGCGCAAAGCAGGGTTTACATGTCCTCACGTAAATATGCGTAAGTGTATATATTCACAAAGCAGTGCTTCTGGGATCCTTTTAGCTGTTAGACCTCTGTATGGTCAGCCAGAAAGCTCTTATTCCCATTTCCAGGCTTGAGCTCTTAAGAGTGTGCAACGGGACATTTTCCACGGAGGACACTTTGCTTTGGAACCATTCCTCATTATACTTCAAGAAATCCCAAATCTAACTATTTTCAGGCTAACACTCAACCAAAAGGTAACACCCTCTTTTAGGCGTCAGGCAGGCTTGATGCGAACTGTGTGGTGGGAGGGTAGGTCTGGCAAGCTACTCAATTGATGGGGATTTGTCATCAGTAGGTGAGAGAGAGCGAGCCTAGCAAATGGTTTGATTTAACGGTTCTGAAGTTTGGTTATTGGGTTTTTTGTTTTTTCCTACTTGAGTCTGGAGTGAATGGGGCTGGACCTGCAACAAAATAAATATTCGGACCAGAATATAAACTGTATGCATGTACCGACTATCCATACTGGTAGTGCATATTTAGGATTGGTTGGATTTTTCCCTCCAGTTTCCCCTGCCCTGTATGTTGTTCCTTTCTGGACTGAAACACTAGGTTTTTAAGTTACCCTTTTTTGGCAATTCTTTAACTTGGTATGTTCATGTAAGTAAGATTGATGTTATGGTGATGGGCACTCCAAAACAACTTTAAATAAAACATATACCTTAGAACTATTAATAAATGTGTATATTCCAAGGTACCCTTAATATCTGGTGTGCAGCTTACTGCTTTATGCTTTGAAGCATTTTACTGCAGTGTTTGGAATTTTTTAAACATAATTCTTCACTCCAAGTGAAATTATCTAGAGCTTCAAGGGAAGTTAGAGTTCCCGATTTTTGGAAATGCTCTTGGGTCAAAGAAAAAAGCTTTTTAATTGCTGACAGTTTGGTGATTTCCAAATGACAAACCTCGTTAGAATAATTTGCTCTGATTATAATGTTTGCATTCATCTGACTGGCAAAGTGACTTACAAAGTCATACTTCATCCAGGCACTGATCCTTTTGCTTAAAAGGTTTGTAATTTGTGAGAGGAAAAAAGGCTGAAACTATTATCAACCATTATATGTTATTTATTGACCACATGTTTGTTTGAAATGGCTGTTGCTTGATGGAAGGTGGATCATATACAGCCTCTTTTATAAATTAGCACTAAAAACTACCTAAGCAGGTAGGTTTCATGTTGAGATACTAACTTTAGGCAAGTATTTTAATACAAACCAGATTATATATGGGAAGAGGAGTCTTGTTCTACAGTGTTTATTTCAGTCCTGATCCTTCCTGCATGGACCCTTATGTTTACCAACCCCGTTGACTTCCCCAGGGCTTTGTGCAGGTCTGTATTGGCGGTCTCAATGTACATGGACACCCTAGGTTTCTTTATATAGTGTGACTATTTGCTGCACATTTTTGCCAAAGACCTCTTACAGTTTTTCCTTTAACCTATGTCCTGAAGGAGCGTGCAGCACTCCTTCCTGCATGGACCCTTATGTTTACCAACCCCGTTGACTTCCCCAGGGCTTTGTGCAGGTCTGTATTGGCCCATTGTATGATTGCGGTCTCAGTGTACATGGACACCCTAGGTTTCTTTATATAATGTGACTATTTGCTGCACATTTTTGCCAAAGACCTCTTACAGTTTTTCCTTTAACCTATGTCCCGAAGGAGTGTGCAGTGCAGAGCGTTAGAGTGGGGAAATGGGAAATGTATTATTTTTCTCATTTAAATCCAACACTTATGAAGAGTAGAAGCAACACCACCATCTCTTCACCCCAGCCCTCTCCCAAAAATAGGTTCACTTGGACATGATACTGGGAGTGGTCTATGTTCCTGGGAAACACCCTCGCTCAATTGATAGTAAAGCACAATGAATACTTTGCATCATTTGAAATGGCTGGTGGCAGGGAGGTCGGAGACCTGGTAGGGGTTAGGACTGTCTGGTGAATGCTTGAGATGTCTTTCTTATGCTAACGGTGAAATAATTGCTCGTCAGCCGAGTCCAAGGATAAGTCATTTTAGGTGGGATAATTTGCCGGTATCCACCGAGGCACAGAGCTCTCGCAGCAGCAGGAAAGCCATCACATCCCCTTCAGGAAGGCAGTCAGGTTTGAAAAAGGGATTGCCAGCGGCCTCTTCCCACACTTCGCTGCTTTGGTGTTGTGAGCTCTAGACATTGACAGCTATCTTTCCCCTGGTTATTGTAATTCCAGAACAACAAACAAGCTAATCCCTTCTCCTTTGGCCCTCCAGTTTGTGCCAACTCCCCCATGATAGTGACATCTGAACACACACTACCTGGGAATCCAGGTCCTGTTCAGGCCAGGCCTTCTTTCCCAGTTCTTACTGTGCAAGGCTGTACATGCTTGGTGCTGTGATATATTGGCTTGTGCTGTGGCATAATGCTGTATCTTTTGGCAGAAACCTGCAAGGGGGGAGGGGGAGTACTTTTTCACGCAAACATGTAATTCATTACAAAAGCCAGGTTGTGTGGTAGACTCTGTTGTGAAATCTGTGACTGGGAGGTTTTATGTTGTATCTCTCAAGTTGCCAGCTTGGTTTAAACCTGGTAGTTACCTTCCTTTTGAACTCTTTTTGCCCACTAATCTCCACCCTTAATCTAAAACGTTGTGAGTGCCTCTTGTTCCATGGGGCTCCTGGCTCCCTCTTCAAGTGTTTCATTCCCTTTCTAAGATATAGTCTACTGGTCCCTTCTTCTCTCCTGCTATTCCTGATTACAGGGGTTCCCATGCAGAAGCAGTAGCTTAAAAGTGCATGGACTGCCACTGTTCAGGAAATGCCCTGGGTTGCAGAGATACCAGTACCCCCTGGGGAGTTGAGCAGTTGGACAGGGTGGGATGGAAGGAGGAAGGGTGATATGATTTTTGCTAGATTAATTTTACAGCCTGTGCATCTGAATGTGATTCTTATTCAAGAGACTATTTTGTTTGTTCTTAAGATTTGCTTAGGTAATGCTGGTTAGAGGGAACCAAGCTTGGAATAAGTGTCACAGTGTTGATAGGACTGTGACCCTTGGCAGGAGGAAGCTGTGGTGCTATGGGTGTGCGTTCCTGGAGCATGGGCTGCAAAAGGAAACCAGGAGACATGTCTCTGCCATAGCAAGGAAGAGCTGAAGAGGGCAGTCCAGAGAAAGGAATTGCTTTGGCAGGGAAGCACCAAAAGATGACCCACTTCTTCAGCTCAAAGGGATGGAGATAAAGCACTGGGAGAGTAGTTTGTGCCCACCCTGGTCATTAAAATCCTTGGGGTGTTGGAACACATTTATTCAGGCTCATGACAGTAACTTCAGCCCAATCTGAACACTGACAGATGAAGAATCATTCTCTTTTTGTTCTTTTTATCGTAGGCTTTTGGATTTATGACACGAGTTGCTCTGCAGGCAGAAAAGATGAATCATCATCCTGAATGGTTTAATGTGTACAGCAAGGTAGTACAGCAAATCATTTCAGTTACCTTTGTAAATTTACTAGACTAGTTCATCCTACAGAACAGCCCTTTCTGTCTTGCCATTTCTGCTGTGCAGCTTCTGTACAGCAGAGGAGAATAGGTCCTGGAGACTGTAAAAAAATGCTTGCAGCAAAGACACAGCCCCAGGGAGGGGCAAAATAAATCAGCAGCTTGATTTTATTCTATAAGCACAGCCAGCCAGTGATAACTGCTGTTTCCATTATGATAATGGAATTAACATTAAACCCGTGGGCAGTGTGTCCAAACTCCATGTGCTTCCTACCTTTAAAGTTGTGAGTTCTATAGCACGAAGAGATTCTCTGTCAGTTAGAAGTAGGCAATGAGGGCTGGGACACCAGGGTTCCTCTCTCAGATCCTTTATTCCTGGCCATGTGGCTTGGAGAAGTCTCTGAATCTCTCTGATCAAGATATTTAGAAGGAGGATCTTAAAGTTAGGCTGCAAATCCATGTTTTGGCCATTTAAATAAATGCTCTGACTTTCAAGACTGCTGAACACTCTCCGGCTCGCCTTTGCCTCCATGGAAGTTGCTGGGTGCATGGGACTTCGGTAAATCAGGCCATTTAGGTGTCAAAGTACAAGCCTGGCAACTTGCCTTGACACTTACATTTTGAATACTGTGGTCCCTGTCATTCACCATGGCAACTTACAAAAATGGTTTTTAATATATACCTAATTGACAGGGGCCTCATGAGACCAAATGTGAGGGTACACAGAGACCCTCAAAAGACGCTGCATTGGAGGAAATGATCACCTTCCCTTTATTTTCCAGTAACTGTGGTTAATTAAGCCCTTTTTAAATTTCCCTCATTGATAAATATGTTGTAAGCACACTTAAATAGAAAGAGGGAGGACTTCTATAACCATACATAGACAGCATTGCTTGTTTCCAGCTAGGGCAGAGTACTGTAGTTGTGCTTTAAGGTGAGACTGACCAGCATTGGTGTGTCCTGATCTCAAAAAGAGAAAAAAAGGTAGAATTAAGTAAATTTCTAATGACTTCCAGCCCATTATGGGTTAATCTGTGTATCCCCCCCACCCCCCCAGGCTCCCATCTGGCCGCCACTCCCCACAGTTCTCTTGCTGCTGTGACAGCCAGCAGTCTCCAGGCTTCCTCTCCTTTCTCCAGCTTTTGCTTTCTGCCCTGACCTCTGGCGGCTGCCTGGCACAGCCTGCAGTGCTAGGGGAGCCTGTGGCCAGGGAGCTGGGGGGAGAGGAGGGAAGCTGCCTGTGTGGCAACCCATAGGGCTTGTGCAGGTGCGGCCCCTGCTGCATGGTATGTGGCCCCTGGCCACTTAGTGGTTGGACAGCCCTGTGTTAAGAGCTGATCACACAAAGTGCTCACATCCCACTTGTGAAGACTTCCCAGGCTTCCAAGACTGCCAAGAGCTCACCAGTTGCTTCACCTTTAGGAGCATGCTTTTTAACATAACACTCAAGTCACTGAATTGACTGTTTTGCAACTTGGTTGTTGGCCCAAATTCTTTGTGAAACCAATACGTGGAATTTAAATGTGAAGAGTGAGTAATTTAATCAGACACTTCTCCTTGGATGAAACCCAAGAATGCAAAGCCTAAATTACTTCTCTACTCTGTGAAGGGGCTCTCTTTGGTTACTCTCCAGATTTGGCTAAGTCTGCTCACCTAGGATGGCTCAGTCCCTGGACAACCTGAGAGATTCGCAGTCTACTTGGAGGATTTTTTCTAGCCTAATTCATTACAGAGGCACCCCTACCCCTTGAGGCATAGACAGCATTTTCCACTGAATTCTGATCAGTCTGCAGAGAGGAGATTGGAATGTGAATAGTAATCCCTTTCCTTTCCTCTTTTTTACAGGTTCAGATAACTCTCATTTCCCATGACTGTGGGGGACTGACCAAAAGAGATGTGAAGCTGGCACAGTTCATTGACAAGGCGGCTGCTTCTGTGTAGTAACTGAATATGGAAAACCTTGTAAAAATGCTATTGCTTTGAAAACACTTGATAGCTAAACAATATTGCTTGGTCAGTGCGGTGATCTACATTCTCCACTGAGTCCGTCCCTTGTGCCTCTTGAGATCCAAATCCCCGTGTTGGTTACACGTCCCGTGTAGCTGATAAACAGCCAGGTTTATTTTGAACAGCCCCGTCTTAGAAATTAAAAGAGTGTTTTAACATTAAACACCAAACCCAAGAATGCGAGTCACCATTATCCTACAAGACATGAAAGCCAGAAGGAAACTTGGAGCCTGGCCAGAATTATGAGTATTCCCCAAGTCCACAGTAATCTCGCCTAGTAATGCAGCAGCTCTACCAGAGTGAGCCTGGGGCTGCTGCCAAGCAAATGGATCCTGTTCCTGGTGCCCAGCCAAGCAGGGCATTTGGGTGACTTATTTCCTCCCCTGTCCCTATACTTTTGCATGCAGAGAACCACAGCAGTGAGATGCTTTTGAGAACCGACCCCCTTCTTAGCTGTACACATGGGGCTTGATCTTGTGAATGTCTCAGTCACCTTGGCCCTGATCCAGCAAACTGTAAGCACATAAGTCACTTAACATATATGCTCTGGGAGCATCCTTGTACTTATGGTAAGTATGGGTTTCAGTGCGTTGCTGCACTGGAGGGTCAGGTGCTCAGCATTTTACAGGATTGTGCCCTTACCTTGTTATGACATTTTCACGTTTCATTAGAGCCTGCAGGAGTAGTGAGCGGCTTCTGTAACACCAGTCAGTCCTGTCAGCAGCAGAGGCCACATTAGATTCTTCTATGAAGCCATATTAGTGTGAAAGTTCTGGTTACCCATTTTCTTACAGTCACAGTAATTTGTTTTTTAATCTAATTCCAAGGCCTCCATGACTTGCCAAGTGGGTAGAAAACCATTCCTTACAATGACCCCAGATTGTAAAGACTTGGTCTTTTTCTGTGATACTGGCTCAGATTGGATTCCCATGGACAGCGGTGGGATTTCTGCCCAAGCAAATACTGCAGGGACAGGCCCCTTCTTTGTAGTCCTGTTACTATGTATACCTAGCCTGTAGCATCAAACCTGTCAGATAATACCTAAAGAACGATTGGCATCTTCCACCCCTGCATCTAGGCATTTATTATGATGACACCAGAGGCACAGTTTATAACTAGGAAACTAGATCTATGCTGAATGATTGCTAAAGCAATATTTGGTGTACTTGTTGGATTTTTGGTCTTTCTGATAATTTTGGAGGCACTGCCAGTAGCTAATACAGAAATATTCCAGTCATTACACTTTTAAGAAATGAATAATGCATCCTTAACTAATTCAGTGTCATACACTGATAGACAGCAGTAATTAATTTTTAATTTGTAGGATGTTAAGGCTAAGAGTTATTTTTAGTGACCATCCCTGGGATATAGGGTTAAAACTTAGAAGCAAGTCAATTCAAGTTTTATGTGCTAAAATACCAATCTCTCTACAAACGGTCTGACTTTGCCTGTAGGAAGCAAAGGATTTTTTGGACACGATTTTTAAATGATCATTGCAACAAAGAATTAATCAAGCCCCCTTTTCTCCCAAAGCCCCCAAACCGTAATTGGTGTATCGTGTCAACCATGGATAAATGAACTGTCAAGCCTAAAAGTTTGAGTCTCTCTAATGGGCTCTGAAAAGAGATGGGGGGAGGGGGCTGTTTAGAAAATGGTCTATTATGCAAATGCTTTGAATAAAAACGAAAATCAAAATACCTCTCTAATTTGTTTCTGCATAGTTGTGTATATACATGTATGTGACAAAATTCTTTGGCTTTGGCCTAAATTGTATTTAGGGTCTTGTGTTTAAAACATTAATTTCTACATCATGTTAGGAAAAAATTTGCCACTATGTTATCCCTTGGGATATTGGTTAGTTGTATCATGCTGTACTATGTTGTTATTTTTGAGGTCTGTCGCATAGTAATAGAAACCAGGCAAAATAAATTGTCATGAAAGGTGAGTATTACATTGGAAATGTTTTTAATTCAGTGCAACTTTTTGACAGAGGTTTTTCTTCGCTGCCTGTTAACTTTCTGCATATATCAAAGTGCTGTGAGATGCCCTCAGCAAGGAGAGCTGTAACAAATACTTTATTAAGCTATCATTGAACTAGCAGTGGAAATCATTTCCCTTTTTTATGTAAAGACTTTTGACTTCAGAGGCAGAATCTTAGGGTGAAATCCTGGCTCCACTGAAGTTATGAGGAATTTTATCATTGGCTTCAATGGGGCCAAGATTTCACCTCTGACTCAGAGGCAATACTCTTTCCTCCAGCCTGCTTTTTTTTTATTAAGTTGCTATTGGCTGCTTCCCTTTCCTGCTTTTGCTGGATACCTGCATTGTTCAGCACAAAAAGCAATGACATTCTCCTGGGGTTTGGTTTGGTTTTTCATTAGAGAAGGGCCATTTTTAGGCTTTGACAGAATTCTTAGCATTTTTGAATTGCATCCCAAACCTGTCGAACCCCTCACACTCCCTTCACCAACACTGTTAGTTTTTATAATGAACTACCTGCGTTCTGCAAAGCAAGTGGCAATGGAATCTTGGCCGTGTCCTAACTGCTGAAAAGGCTTTGATTTCTCCTTGGTTATCTTTATAACTCCAAGGCATTTAGCTAAATCGGAGCCATCTAGCTGTAGTCCACCATGTGTGCAGGTCTGTCTGTCTCTCTTAAAACCTTCCTGTGTATGTATGTGTGTGTGTGTGTGTGTGTGTGTGTGTGCGCACATGTACGTGCTATTTGCATACAGAGAGAATGTGTGTTGGTACTGAAAGAGGGAGAAGCAGTCACTTTGCTCATTCCTAAATTCTTGGTTGGAGAATAGCAACTGAGTACAGAGTACAGCAGCACTACCTAAGAATATGAGCAGTACCGAGTTCCATTAAATCTACATGGGAAATTCATATGGACAGAATTTCATTACATGTGTTGGTTACAGACCAGCAGACGTGGTCTGATGCTTCTTCTCTTGTGAAAAATAGTATCGGATCCTTGATGATGGAAGTGGCCAAGGCCACAGTTCTAAGTCTCATCTAAAAGACATCTCTACAGCCATAATCACACCTAGTTGCATGGTGTTGATGAGTCAAAAGAGGCAAGCAAATAAAAAATACCCTCTGTGCAGTGTCCTAATTTTTTATGTTTATGGTTTAACAAACCAGCACTGATCAGTACTTTCTCTGCTTAGCTTTTAGGATCACAGCCCAATTTAGAATGGCACTCCTTTCTCTCCCTACGTATTACACAGTTCAGCTCATGACCAGCAGCTACCAGGATAAATACTTTATTAGAGTGTTTGTTATTGATTCCAGGTTCATTATGGTGTAGTGTTTGGATAACCTGTCACTAAGCAGCTGTATTGCTTGAAGATAACTCCCTGGCATATGGATTAATTTAAACCTGATCTCAATTACCAGTGAAATCTCTGGTTTGGACAGGACAGTCAGAAATAAGTTTTTGACTATTGCAAAAGATGAAAGCCCTTGGTGAACTGTTCAGGAAACAGTGCAAAAATTGCACTGAATCTGGAAAAGTAATTAAAGGAGAATTAAAGTCACTGGACTGTCTGCAGGAGTGCTGGCTTCTGCCACTACAGTGTTACCCTCATGGTAGCCAACAGTGCTAATAGCACTCAGTATTTCCCACTTGCTCTGCATGTGTGAATGTTTCCTCCCACACTGCATAATATTGCATTCAGGTAAACAATAAAAGGGAAGCGACAGAAACAAATTCTCATTACAGAATCTGTGTGCAAAGAAAAACAGCTTTGTAACAAAAGACCAAGTAGAATGAGAGGGACAAAACAGAAGGAGGAAAGAAGCGAATTTGAAGGGATGTGACCAGATTTGGGCAAGTCCTTTACCACGGAAGCATGACATGTATGTGTTAAAGTCCAAGCTGTTCATACGTGGGTGGCAAGGTGTTGTCCAACACAATCTTGGCAGAGTTCTCGCCATCCTTTTCCTTCATAATCTTCACTGTTACTTGGCTGCAGCATAGGCAGAATGTAGGTATCAACATTAAAAAGTTGGTGTTTTTCTTGAGTGAATCTGGCTGGGAGCAGCACCGGATGGAAGAACTATGCTAGAATTTCCATATCCATCTCCAGCACCAAACTTTTCTAGCCCTAAGTGATTTTACTTACATTAGGGGAAAAAGCCCCTCCTAATTCTAGTAAGCAACCATGAATTCTCTGGGTCATGGTGCATGCTGTAAGAGGTCTAGTCGGATGCCGGATGCATCCTCTTGTGGCTAACAAGCCCAACTTGAGAGCGACACTGCTTCCTATAAGTCTCAGATCCATAAGTTGTCTGAGTGGGAGTCCAACTTTACAACACATTGTTTTCTTTCTCGCTTTGCTTCCATCCTCTGGATCAAAGCTGCTTTATGTTGAGCTGTACCCAGTGCCATGCGTTCCCTCCAGATCGGATGGGATTCTGTGCACTCCTCTTGACTTTCTATGTTGAGGTTGAACAACCTCATATCATTTTTGCACACATGGTACCACCACAGAGGGTGACCCCGCTTTCTAGAGCTATCTCAAATCTCACTATATAAGGGATACAGTCTCGTCCCAGTCTCCTGATATGGCTGGTCCATTGCAACATTTTCTTCTTGACAGTGGTTTCTAAGTGTGTCAGTTCTGTGCTGTCCAGCAGGCCGGATAGTCCTGCCAGATACAAGTGGTATCTGGCAGCACAGTAAATTACCATGCTTAAATGCACGTGTAGATGGTGACATTGGGATCAGTTTACTCTGGCTCAAATTGAGCCAGAGTGTATTCAGTCACATTAACTGCATGTGTAGATGTGCCCAGTGGTGCCTAAAGCATCTTAACTGATTCCAAGTGGCAGAGATGAAGCTATTGTAGCTGACACTGTTCAAAATACCTTCAGAATATAGATCTATGGATTTCTGAGGCAAGAAAGGGACCGCTGTGAGCATGTAGTCTTATGTCCCACACAGCCCAGGCCAAAGAATCTCACCAGGTGATTTCAGGGTCAAGCTCATCATCCTCATTGGCAGTCCCTTGATACAAGGATGACAGTCTCCAGTATATGGGGATGTCATCGTTGAGTCTGGAGATGACTGAGGAGGCTGATCCAAGATTCTTATGCTGCATATTTGACTGTGCAGATGTGGAAAATAGCTGCAGAAGGAAGGAGCGGATCTC